CAGCTATTAGTACGACTGCTACTAGTACTACTACTACTGCTACTACTTCTTCTACTAGTACTACTACTGTTATATTAAATACTACGACCACTACTACAGCTATTACTACGACTAATGATACTACTACTTCTACTACTTCTTCTAATTACTAATACTTCGACTACAACTTCTACTACTACTGCTACTACAAATATCACTACTGCTACAACTAGTACTTATTCAAATGCTACTAATACTTCTACTGCTAATAATACTTCTACTGCAACTACAACTTCTACTACTACTACTACAACAAATATCACTACCGCTGAAATTTTCTTAAGCTACAGAAACCGTTCGAATATCAAAATGTTCAGCTCTTTCAGGAGAGGGTGATGTATTTGTAATCTTTCAACTTTTTGAATTATTAAGCTTTTTGCAATTTTCTTTTGAATGGGATCTCTATGGAGAAAATCTTCAAATCCTGTTAAACTTCTTCAACTTTCTAAGCCTTCTTCTTCTTCATACTTTCAGCTACAGACACCATAGTGAGACATTTCAACTACAAGGGTTTTCAGCAGTGCAGTTTAAATGCTTTCAAGCTTCAACATTTTTCAGACGGGTAGTCTCCCATTTCTTAATTTTCAGCAATTTTTTGACAATTAATTTCAGCTTTCAGCATTCCAACGCATTTTCAGCAGGAAATGCATTTTCTAGTTATAAATGACATATTTTCAATAATGGTGTATTACCAATTTATGTTAAATGTTAAATGCTCTTTCAGAAAAAAAAGTTATTCAAAAAGCTATTTTTGAAAACATGTGACACATTTACAGTACGCCAAATAAAATATCTTCCCATCAAGGCATCTCTATTGAGACAAGGCTGAACCAAACACAAACATACAAGAGATCAACCACATCTCCACAAAACGTAAAGAGAGACAGGAGCTTGTGATTCAGCTAAGCTGGTCCTGGTCTCTGTCGACATTCTGCCTTTTTCTGGCTCTGCAGCTCATACATACTTCATACCTTGGAGTCTCCTCCACTGAGCACGTTGACCATGACCTCCATGACAGTCTCATGCATCCCCAGAGCTCTCATCAGGTTAGGATGTTGGTAGAACACCTTGTTGTTCATAATATCACTGCGGAGGAAGGAGGGGCTAGTTAAAAGCCGAGTGCAGTGTTCTATCATTAGGGCTCTAACCAGGTGTATAGTGTAAGCACTGACTGAACATGGCATACACGGCATACAGTAAAATGAACCATTTCTGTTTTCCTCGTATTCCTAGTATTTAATGTGCGGCTGCATACATTATATAAGACATGTATTGGCATAACAAACATATTTCAATGAATCTTTCGCCAGTTGCCCCCCGTGCCCTCACGACTTTTAACCAGCGAGAGAAGAGAGGACCAAAGCACATCAGAGTCAGTAATCAGGAGCTTGACAGATGAGTGTGTTCTCACCCCAGCCCTCTGATCATTAGTTTCTCCTCCTCTCTTCCCATACGGACACTCAGCAGAGATCGGATCTGACCCAGAGCAGCCAGCAGGTTGATGGTGTCCTCGATTGATACGGAGTTTATGGTGTAGGTCTTAGGAAGGGCGCGCACCTGGACAGATAAGGACAGATTCATATCTTTCGAAGCCTGCTGCTGAGGTACACACATTTCCTTCACATTTTAGAGAGTTTTTATCACTGCAAGAATCTGTACGGACTGAGCAGGAAAGTCTGTTAGCAGTTGCTTTAATCAGAAGATCTGCAGATCGATCCCCGGCTCATCTAGTTCACGTCGATGTGTCCTTGGGCAAGACACTTGGTGTGTGAATGATAAGATAGTCCTGATGGGCAGGTGGCACCTTGCATGGTACCCCCAGCTATCAGTGTGTGAATGGGTGAATTATGTGTTTAATTAAACTATATTTCCACACCAAATGATTGATGGTTTTGATTGACATTGCTCAATGCTGTACAGGTTTTTAGAGCAAAGTTGTTACAGGTGATTCTACTCTTTTAAACAAAATGTTAATATTATTAATATCAATTAAATATTACTGTTGTTGCATTTGAATGTGAACTGCTGGCTTTTTAGAAATGAGTGAACATGCTATGAGACTGTATATAAAGCACAGAAGAAGGAAGGATGCTTCTGCAGCACTAAGCACAGCGACACACACACACACACACACACACATAATAAACACACTGGAAGAGAG